AGAAATAAATAAAATTATCGGGAATAAAGCAGGATGGGAGTTGGCGGCGGGGTGGGGTGGGAGTGTTGCGAGCAAAGATCAGATCCAGTCCTCGGCTGATGTCATCGAGCCTGTTGTTCTCACCCAGTATAGAAACACAGTATCTCTATGTGAATCTAAGTTGTAAAAACACAATACAGTTCAGAAAAGTTTTGTACCTGTCTTCAAAAGGTTCCCAGTATGTGATTTAGCTTTATACTATCTTTTTTTTCTTAAGTTCTAAAATCAACTGCAACACTTCTCAGTTTTACAAGGTGTTCTCTGCACTGAATGTGAGGAGACATTTTAAGTAAATTTGAAAGTTTTAAAAACAGGTAGAAAGTAGAATTTAAAATATTTCTTCTCATTTTGGCTATGTTAAGTTAACCCTAGAAACATTAATGGTTTCTAAAATGTATTTCTGCAAAAGTCAACATTATCGAGTTATTACTGAGTCAACATTAGCTTCCCAGCATTTTGGCAAAAATCAACCTCACTCTCCCTCTCTTATTTCAATTTGCCACAAAAAAGATACATTCAAAGATTACTAACTGTAATTCTTCAGTTAAACTTTATAATTGTATTTCTCAAAGTAAAACATTAGGGGGAAGTTTTATATTTATTTTACTTAAAATTATTTTTCTGTGCATCCATAGAACAAAATACTGTGCAATCATTTTAAAAGGAAAGTTTATCTTTGTTTTATAATGGGCATATGTCTACAGTATATTGTGAAATGCAAAAAAAAGCACAGTTGAGAGTGTAGATGGTAAAGATAGTGAATACTAATGTTCTTCATGTCTACATACTTATGTAAAAGTCCAGAAAGATGTAAGACAAATACAAGCATTAGTTGTCTTTGGGTGGTTCGGATTCCAGCTGATTTTTATTTTCTTCATTTATCTTTCAAAATGTTTTCTGGTAATGAGCAGATATTGATGGTGTCAGTGCAAAAATGTGTACAATTAAAAAACGGTCTTCAATAGCTGGAATTGAGCATGGTAGGAATGATGGTGATTAAACAGATCGCTATGCTGAAAGTCTCACAAAAGTCTTTCTCTTTCATTGGATGGTAACCCCTAAAACTCATAAAATTTCAGTAAAAAGCGACAGGAGGGACGTGGAGCTCTGAAGGCAGGGCTTCCGCGCTGTACCCTAGCTGGTGATTCCCCACTTCCCACCCCGAGCCCAATGGTCCTGGGAGAACGGCAGGAACCCAGCTCTATTACAGTTTTTCTTTTCTCCTAATTCCAATGCGTAAAGCTTCACAGGAGACTCTGATTCCATGTCCAGTTAGACAACACGCCTTACTTCCCCTTTCCTGTAACGTCCATGCCCGTCCCTCTTCGCCGTAATCACTGCCGATTATTTCCTCGGGTGCCTGAAGAAGTAGAAAATTCTCAACAGATATTCTGCCTCCCTTTCCTCCCTTCCTTTATTCAATCTACACGTCAGCTTAATTCATCCTTCCTTCTGAACGTTACCTTTAAATATATCACTTTCTTATTGAAAAGTCTATAATTCTGTCCAACATAAGAAAAACGTCTATAGGCTAAAATTCAAAGCCCTCCACTATCTAAGCTCACTGGTTGGACAATCTTGTAATTCCTCAGTTAAACTTTATAATTGTATTTCTCAACCAAGCCCCCAGTAAAGTCTCTGTTCTATGATAACAGCCAACTCACTGAATTAACCTTTTAATTCAGTGCTGCCACATTGGTGATTTCTGTTTTCTCTGCCTGGGGTGACTTTCCTCATGGATCCCACCAGACTCACTTCTATAACATAAGCCAACTGTAGAGTCCACACTTTAGATGTCCTATCCCACTTGATCCCTAGGAGATCTCCCCTTGCTTAAAAGCCTGTCCTACCTCCTCTTTGGGTCCTGGGCATCATGTCACTCAACTCCTGGTACACGGGAATGTTTTCTCTCCAGCAGAATGATAAGTGCCTGAAGGCAAGAGGTGTGTTTTATTATTTGTGTTTTTAAATCACCTAGAACTATGACCTTCATAATCTTTTAAGATTTGGCGCCCAATAAATATTTTTTGATTAGTAGAAACATTGAGCATTATGGTTTCTAAGCATTTGGGGAGAGAAACATAAGACTCCACATTTGTGTGTGTGTGTGTGTGTGTGTGTGTGTGTGTGTGTAAGTAGTTAAAGAATAAAATGCAAGACAAATCAGTAATGTCTGAGTTACTCTCTATGAAAACCACAAAAGTGAGTTTACCATTTTGCTCAACTTTCTATTTCTGAAAATGTCCTTTTCTCATCAAGGTTAAGTGTTTAGATGGAGCCTATAAAAAGTTTGTCCAAAACAAACAATTATGGCTCGCCAGTAGCAGAAATAATGTGTGTCCCTGCTTCTCTTTGTAAATAATTGAATTGGCCTCTGAATTTCAAGAAGTTCAAGATTTCTTTGTGTGTGTGAAACTGACTGCTTCTGTTTTCTCTTTATACAAGCAGAGTATATGCTAAGACAGTAGAAATGCTGTGCAATTGGGATTTGGTGAGCAGGGAGGATAACAGAAGAGATTGACATGACTTCTATAGAAGAGTTATTTTTAAGCTTAGAGAATGCCTATCCCCATGCTGAAAGGGCCTTTCACTATTGAGAGTGAAAGGCGGTGGAAGCAAAATGCCCATCATCTGGGAATGCAGTGCTGGTGTGCAGGGCATTGCTGCCACCTGCTGCATGAAAACAGCCATGGAGGGGCTGTCACCTGGGTCTTGCAGCTGTAGGACATCAGGTGTGTTCAATTAAGATTCTGTGAGCATCTGAATTTTATTTTTCTCCTTCTCTTCGAGCCTGGGTGGGTCCCAAAGGAAAACTAGTCAAATTTGATGAGTCCAGGCTGCAGAGGTTTCTAGGTATAAGAACCATGAACCAGGCTCTGAATAAATACCCAGAGAGGGCCAATTTGCCCAGCAGCCACTGAGCAGGTGCTTTGGGTAGTCCAACCCAGTGAAATGTAAAAGTGAGTCTGTAGCTCTGGAAAATGAATGACAGTTTCCTTTTATAAAACAATTTAAGGTGTTTTATTTTATATTTTTGCATCTTTTGTAGAGTTACTTTACTTTAAAGCAATAAGAAATAGGAGACAATTAGTCCTGGCTAGTGTGGCTCAGTTGGTTAAAGTGCTGTCTCATACAACAGGTTGTGGGTTCAATTCCTGATCAGGGCACACACCTAGGCTGGGGTTTGGTCCCCGGTTGGGGCATGTGCCAGAGGCAATCAATCGATGTTTCTCTCTCACATCCATGGTTTTTTTCTTCTCTTTCTCCCATCTTCTCTCTAAAATCAATAAGCATATTTTTGGACGAGAATTTAAAGAAAAATATTTAAGGGAAATAGGAAATATCTAAATACATCAAGGGGGAAGGATGTTGTTCTTAGAGAATACAATAAATTTAGATTTTTATTGGTGTGCATTTAGGTAAATTTCTCCTAATATGAGAAATGGAATGAGTTAACCAAATTTCTTCCCCAGGCTTGTAATGTGTCCCAGTTTAATAGAGACACCAACCTGTAGATCAGGTTCTCCCCACTATATCACTTGGACTGTGTTTGACTCTATAGTCCATCAGTGTGATTCACTGGAATTTCTGAAATATCCTTGTCATCACCATCTGACCCAACACCTCCAGTAGTCTGAGACTTAGCAGTGAAGTGTGTCGGGGTGGTGGTGGGGAGATAAATGATGCTTGGAGAGCCCTACATTAGAAAACAGGTAGCTCCACCTTCTGGCCTTTGCAGGGAACACCATTAGCTGAGTAGTAATGAGTAAGTATGGCCATTGTCATGGTGAGTATTTGCAGTGATGGTGCACAGGGTAGCATGGACACCCTGGAAGGCAACAGCCCTATTACACATCTACAGATCTCTGTTCTCCCAGCTAAATTCTAATCTCCTCAATGACAGAGTGATGCCTTGTGTCTTAGCATCATCCACATTCCCCCCAGGTCCTTTCATTGGACAGATCTGTATACACTTCATGACATGGCATGATGTCAACATACATGATGACATGACACATGATGACGAACTGGTAAAAATTCTCTCTCCCTGACCTCAAAATATTTCTCTCCTCAGGAATAAGGCTCAGCTTCTCCTTTGTCTCCAGGTTTCCTGGATGCTGCCAAAGGTATTAGTGAGATCAAGTCACAGGTATTTCACCAATCGTTCATAAAATTGTATGGAGACACATCTATTTACTCATTTTTATTCTTTGTTTATTAAACGTACACCGTAGTCTCCAGAAGAATGCTTGTTTTCTTATTGTTGGAAGGTGAAGACGGCCTGTTTTGTCCTAAGCTAGATAACCATGCAGTTGTTCCTGCCAGGGGACAGTCACTGTGTCCCAGAGTCACTTCCCTGATTCCCAGGTCCAGCCCCCTGTAAATGGAAGGGCCTGGGAAGATGTGACAGGCTTGGTGGCTGGCTGCAGTAGGAGATTCTCTGCCTTTGGATTCTGATTGCTTCAGCCTGGCTCTCAGTGGCTTTGGGTTGAGGCACAGTGTTTCTGCCATCAGCAAAATAGGCCTCCAGCCAGCAGGGCAAGAGACTTCCCTGCCTGACTTCCTGTCTCTCCCAGACAAGGGGTACAAAGGGAGCCCCCATTCTCCACTCCAGGAAACGTGGGACTTCCTGCAAGAGGGAGACAATAACATTTGTTTTGATGGCTGGTGCTCCCCTCAGTTACTTTTCAGATTTTATTAAAATTAAATGTTTTATTTTTGTGTGTTTCTTTACCCCAAAGCAATTCTGGAGAGAAAATACGTTTTTAAATTGAACAGGAAAACTATTATAAAGGACACGAAGCTCACATTTGTTAAATGACTTTGTGCTCTGAAAAGAAGCGTGTAGAAAGCACATTACGAACTGCTCTGCACGATTTCCTTTGGATTTTAGAAGCAGCCTGACTGACACCGAGATCCTGACGGAGAGAATCTGTGGACACTGAAAAGCCTTTTAACAAAGGTGATACCCAAGGTTCTCAGAGAACAATTCAACGCTGTTCTGTTGAAGGTTATACTGAGCTCTGAACCACATTACTTTCCTGTCTACGTTTCATTTCCTGGGGTCTTGCCAAGTGATAAACAGACCCAGGCGTGTGGTAGATTTGGGGTTTTTCAGCACGAATAGGGTGGCTGGAGTTTGCTCGGTTCAAGGCATCCACTGACTTCTGCGATCATGATGAAAAGGCCCATGTGAGGCTTTCGGGAGACGATGGAGAAAACGTGGACATACTGTGCTGTCTATTCCATCATCCAGATTCATTTTGTCAGGGGTAAGGCTTCAGTTGTCCTTTCTTGCCAGATCGGCCGCTTCAGGGACCAGCGAGGCCTCTGCTCGTGAAGATGCCTGGGTCCGCTGCTGGAAGTGAGCACAGAGGCAGATCGTTACTGAGGAGTTCAGTTGTGTATTTCAGTGGCAGCTATGGGAATGCTGTTAGAGCCTGGAAATGATTACTAATGAACACTGAAACCAAGAAGGGAATGGGTGGTTTGGGCCACAGCTCAGAGGCGTTTTTACCCATTTCCTTCCTAAGAGGATCTCCGGAGTAATTGGGAAATGTTGCTTCTTGGAAATGAAATGCTCTCCAAATGGTAGTCAGAGCAGCTCTGGAATGCTAACGGAAATAGATAAATCACAAAGCCATCACTTCTCAGTGATCCTTGCTCAACTTTTCCCTCTCTTTCAACTATCCTTTTCTTTTTCTTTTGGATATAGCAAGCATTTCTCCTCCAAATACTAATGTCTTTGGGAGTTGAACATATGTTGGATTTTAATGAGGCATGTGTAGGTATAGACCTGGGAGACATAGCAGGGTCCTTATGACAGTGGGAACCAGTACCTAACGGGCCTATTTAAAAATAATAGGAAGAAAGATTAGTTCTGTATCCCACAGCATGAGGGTATCATAGTGATCCTGAATGTCTTGAGAATTAGCTGTGCTTTTCAGATAGAGCTACAAAGATTTTAAGAATTTCTAAATCAAAGAAGACTTTGGGATATCATGCTGTAGACAGGATCAGAAGCATATTATCTGGCAAAGGAGAGTTCACAGGGAGCTACATTAAACTGTTCTAACCTCTGCCTACCCATACTTTTGCATCAATAAAAGTGTAATAATTCCTGTTTGTCAAGTACCTTTGAGAACCTTGTTTCTTCTTAGTTACTTGTCATCTTTTTATCTTTTCCCTTTGTTAGCTTCTGTGGCACTTGTCACAAGAATATATCATTCCTGGAACAGTATTCTGTGTTCATTCTAAAACTGAGGACACGCTATTGAAGGTTTGTCAGAGGCGCAATATTTAACGTCTTTTAAAGTGCCCTGTACCATTTGGTTGGAGAGCTGATGAGAGAGAATCTTCTTTTATGTCCAGTATTTCAAAGTGTTGATTACAGATGATGCTAATCAGTGATTTCTCTTTAGTGGAAACTTTACCTAGGGTATTTCCTCCCCTCGTGAATTATAACTACATGGAGATAAAGGCCCTTTCAATCCCTATATATTAATATCAAATTCCCTTCCCTTCTCAACTAATCTGGGAGGCAGTTTGGAGGTCATGAATTATAGAAAGATCACAGCCCTGGCCGGTTTGGCTCAGCGGTTAGAGCGTCAGCCTGCGGTCCACAGAGACCCAGGTTCGGTTCCCGCTAAGGGCATGTACCTTGGCTGCAGTTTGTCCCCGGCCCTGGTTGGGTCGTGTGGGTGGTGGCCCCTCGATGTGTCCCTTTCACATCGATGTTTCTCTCTCTTCCTCTCTCTCCTTCCCGCTCTATCTGAGTAAAAAATGGAAAAAATGTCCTCGGGTGAGGATAAAAAAAAAAAAATAGAAAGATCACAGATTTTAGATAGTCAGATTAATGTTCTTTACCAAACTGTAACTTTGAAAAAAATCACTTGTGTTTGTGCCTCAGTTTCCTCCTTGAAAAAGAGTGTTAACAACGTCATCCTGGTATGTGAGAAGACTTAAACCAGACAGTACATGTAAAGGCCACTTGTAAACATATATCTTAAAGAAACTGCTGTATAGGGTTTATGTTACTTTTGCCATTTTAGAAAATATCATTTGAGTATTACATGTACTTGTTGATTCATAATTTAAAAAAAAACTCAATTGTATTAAATGTCAGCATAGTTGCCATAATAAGTTTGATGATGAGTTTCCATTTTAAATAGTCTTGATTTTATTCACTGGTAGTCAGAGATCTTGTTATTTTTACATAGACCAACTGACAAGAAGTAAATATTCAGAAGCCAATAAATTCCTCTAGTGTCCTTAAGTAAGCACCACCTCATATGTACTGAGACTCATGCTTCTCTATCTGTGTTATACACAGTTCTCTCCAACCCCTGAGGCGGCCAGGGAGAACATTCCTGTGGTGCTCACTTATTTCACTAAAGTCACAAAAGTTTATAATTCAGAGTCACTCCGTGTGAATCATGCAAACTGATGACTTGTAGTCTTCTCTTTCAGGACTATGGGAAGAAAAAATCAAAACAGAAGACATTTATGCTTCACCTGGCTCTGATGTCAACCTGACCTGTCAAACCCAGAAGAAAGGCTTCATGGTGCAAACGCAATGGTCCAAGATCACCAAAAGAGTGGACCTCGTTGCCCTTTATCATCCCCAACATGGCTTCCACTGTGCTGATGGGGTTCCCTGTAAGTCACTGGTGACTTTCACAGAAACTCCTGGGAATGTGTCAAAATGGACTCTACACTTGAGGAACGTGTCCTCTGCACTCAGTGGGAAGTATGAGTGCAGTTTTACGTTGTACCCAGAAGGCAGTCAGACTAAAATCTACAACCTGCTCATTCAGAAAGATGGTAAGCCAAACAAATATGTACTAGGTGCCATCCATGGACTCAGTACACAAGGGCGAGCAGGAGGAGTTGTTGCTTGTAAGGGAGAAAGAAACCGATAAAATAATTCCAATAAATGTAAAATTGCAAGAGTGATAAAGGATAAGAATCGCATTGGCCTTGTGAGACAGTATGAAATAGCGGTCAGGGAAATTGTCTTTGAGAAAGCAGTGTCTGAGCTGAGGCCTGAAGAAAGAGTAAGCATTAGCACCATTTCAGAAGTGGGAGGTTAGTTAGTGAGTGATCCAGACAGAGGCATGGCTTGTCTGAAGGACTTGGTAGTGTTTGAGAAAATGGGAAAATATCAGTGGGATTGTGGTGCAGAGATTAAGGGATGAAGTTTGAGATTTGGTAAGGGCCAGATCATGAAAGACCTTGTCAGCCATGTTTGAGGTTTTGATTTTTTATCTAAGTGCTGTGGGAAGACTTTGAAGTGTTTTTAACAAAATGATGGTATGACATTTATAATCTGATTGTATTTGTATTGTAAAAAGATCAAACTGGCTTTAGTATGAAAATGAAGTGAAGGTGGAGAAGAAGGAAAAGGTAAAGATAAATTAGGAGACAATCCCAGGAGCCCAGAAGAGACAGAGTGTTATTTGGGTAGATATAAAGAGAAAAAGATAAATATTATGCATTGGGCATAAAAGAGATATGACTTGGTGACATAGGATAATTGCAGTATGAGTGAAGGAGAGAGAAAAATTGCAGTTGATATCCAGGTGTCTGGCACTCACACCTGAATGGTGGTGCCATTGGCTGAGACAGGAGGCATAGTGATAGAGCAGGTTTGCGGGGGAATTTACAAAAGTGGTTTTGGATATATTTAGTATAGGGAAGGGAAGGGTGCCAAAGAAGCTGCTAGAGATGTAGCATTCACACAAACATGCTTTGCACACCTACATTTGTAGGCAGGAATCCTAGGTTTAAGTTCTAGCTCCTTTCTGGCTAGAAATGAATTTCACCCGGAGTCTGTCATGTCAATTCTCTGAGTGCATCTGGAAAATGACCATAATAATTCTCACCCTAAATTACTTGGTCCTAAAATAAATGATTTCCATTTCTACTAATGAAAACATTAGTCGATAAATGGAAAATGCATTAGAAATGGAATGTTTTTAACTCAAGGCAAAGTGATCTGGTAATATAAGAAAAACAACAAAGAGTAACTCATGAAGGCTATGCTAAGGCGGGTATAGAGCTGCCCAGGGCAAGCAAGTATGGATTTATTACCTCCTCTCCATTTCTTATCAAGAAATAAGACCATGGGATTGGAACAGTCCACTTATAGACTAGGACCTCCTCCACCACCACCTTACAATGCCCTTGTTCCATTTCTGTTTGTTTTCTAGGAAAAAAAAAAATATATATATGTATATATGTGTATATATGTACATATATGTGTATATATACATATATGTACATATATACTGAGTTCAACTGGGGATGGAGTGGGGTGGGGATGAGTGAATAGAAATGAGAGTTGTATAGAACATCGTTTAGCTCCATAACATTGGAATCGGATAGTTCAGATATGAATGTTGGCTCTGTCATTTACTATATACATCATCTTTGCCAAGTTATTTCAAGTCCCTAAGATTTTGTTTCCTTATATAACAAACATAATTGAAAATTATTATGGTACCTCTTTCACAGATACCATTATTTTGATGATGAAATGAGATAATCTATGTAAAGCACTTAGCATAGTTCCTGTCAAAGGATAAGAGAGTGGTAAATGGTAGTTTTCATCAAGTATAATATAGTACAGAGCGAACTATTTCTCAGTTCTTATTAAAATGAGTCTTCCTCCCCATCTTTTTGTACTTGCCTAATTTGGAACCCAAAAGGGCATTTGTTATACATGAGCACAAGTACACGTTGACATTGGCTTAGACATAGATTTTATATCTTCTGCCTAGATCTGTCAAGTACTATTGCATATCTAATGTTTACTCCTGGAGATTGGCAACATGGGTTGATATGCCCTATAGGAAATAGGATACGTATCCTGTATGAATAGAACGTCTTCAGCATGAAGACAGAAACGGAAAAGCCAAAGCTATCCCAAAAGAAGAGTGGTACTGCCTTTAAGGAAAGTGTATTTCTTAAAATAAAAGGCAACCCAAGGGACCTAGTTTTAGTTACAAAAAGCTGAAAGTCCATGGAGAGACAGAGCCAGGTCTGCATCCCATGTGGTTGGAAAATTCCCAGCCTGTTTCTAGCTGTGCGGCTGGTCAGCTGGGTCAGATGAAGAGCAACGGCCTTGGTGTTAGCGAAATGGTTCTGGTATTATATATTTAGGTAAAAAGGGAGCAAAATAGAAAAGAGCAAAACAGAAAGGAGAAAGAAATCCTTCACCATGGAGTGACCAAAAATGTAAGCCTGGCCTAGAGCTGGGGGTAGACGCTTTCCTCAGAGGAGGTAGCTGCCACCGAAATGCCCTGTCCGGTCCCCACACAGTGACAGTTTTCCCCCCTTTAGTCTTTCGATCTCTCACTGCTCCTCTTACTTGTGCCATTTCCTTCTTTCATCCCTGAGAGATCTTTACATTTGCAAGCTGCCTGGGTCAGCAAGGCGCACATGCCACACAGACATTTATGAAGTACATAAACGCATGCAAATTGAAGTGGCACAGAAGAATCTAAATATGAAAATGCTGAGAGACCAGAGGCAGTTGAGACCTCTTCCTGTTTCCTTTCTGGTGTTATCTGAGTTTTCTACCCCCTCCTCTGCTCACACCACAGGGCGTGTCCCCTGTTCTCTGACAGCCTAGCTGAGAGGGATTTTTTTTTCTTTTCACAGTATTTTTTCTTGTGTGTGAGTTAGTGCTCTGAGGCTGTGGATGAAGGTAGAAATATATTAAATGGTTTGATATTTGCTTATTCATTTTTACTTGACAGAGTGTCCCCTTAGGTTAGGAGCTTTCAAGTTACTCCAACAAAGTTTTCTGAGTCAAGTATTGGATTATTGTAATCTAGAGTTAATAATTTGAATGGTACTGGATCCCACAGTGCTTCAGATTGTACAATGATGATGCATTTTAAATGTGTGGTTATCAGGATTCATTGTAAGAGTACAATGTGGCTTTAATTTTCCAGATTACAATCAAAGGTTTAGGGGACTTTCACCTTTAGTCACCATGCTGTACATTAGCTCTCCAGAACTTATCACTGGAACTTAGTACTTTTTGACTACCTTTACCCATTTTTCCATCCCCCACCTCCACCTCTGGCAAGTATCAATCTGTTCTCTGTATCTCTGAGTTCAGTTTTATTTTCTTAGATTCCACATATAGGTGAGATTATACATTATGTGTCTTTCTCTGTCTTATTTCACTTAGCATAATGCCTTCAAGATCCATCCATCCTGTCTCAACTGGCAGTATTTCCTTTTTATGGCTGAATAATATTCCATTGCATATTAGAACATTTCTTTACCCATTTATCCACTGATGGACACTTAGGTTGTTTCCATATCTTGGCTATTATAAATAATGCTGCAATAAACATGTGGATGCAAATATTTTTTAAGATAGTAATTTCATTTCCTATACGCAGAAATAGAATTGCTGGATCACATGGTAATTCCATTTTTAATTTGTTTGGGGAATCTCCATATTGTTTTCTATAGTGGCTGGACCAATTTACATTCTCATCAGCAATGTATAAGCCTTACCTTTTCTCCACATCCTCACCAACGCGAGATGTCTTTTTGATACTAACCTTTCTAACAATTATAAAGTGATATCTCATTGTACTTGTATTTTCTTGATAATTCTTTCTTTGAAAAATGTCTATTTAGTTCCTTTGCCCATTTTTAAATCAGGTTGTTTGCTTTTTTTTATTGAGTTGTATTAGTTCTTTATATATTTTGGATACAAACCCCTTATTAGATATATGATTTGCAAATATTTTCTCCCACTTAGTAGGTTGCCTATTTTTTTTTGTCCCATATAAAGTAAAATGTTTATTTTTTGTTTTGTTTGTTTTTTTTGGCAGCTTTATTGAAGTATAATTTGGGTGTCCTCAAAATATGTATACAAGGTGTCTGTAGATTCTATTACATTTTTTTACAGTTCTTTTTATTTATTTATTTATTTTATTTTATTTTTGTTACAGATATTTCTCCTTTTTTACCCCATTGACACCCTCCACCCCATCCCCCAACCCCATGCCCGGCTTTGTTGTCCATGTCCATTGGTTATGCGTACATGCATATAAGTTCTGTGGTTTATCTCTTCCCTCCCCACACCACCCCCTCTTCGGAGGGCTATCAGTCTGTACCCTACTTCCACGGCTCTGGGTCCACCTTATTCCTCAGACTGTTATGTTCATTATATTCCACAAATAAGTGAGATCATGAGGTATTTGTCTTTTTCTGCTTGGCTTGTTTTGCTTAGGATAATACTTTCCAGGTCCCTCCATGTCGTCTCAAAGGATAAGAGATCTTTCTTTCTTACTCCATTGTGTATATGAATCACTGCCTTTTTATCCATTTGTCTACTGATGGACACGGGCTGTTTCCAGATCTTAACTATTGTAAATAGTGGTGCTATAAACATGGGGATACATATATTCTTTCTAATTGGTGTTTCAGGCTTCTTAGAGTATATTCCTAGAAGTGGGATCACTGGGTCAAATGGAAGTTCAATTTTTAATTTTTTGAGGTAACACTATAATGTTTTCCATAGTGGCTGCACCAGTCTGCATTCCCACCAGCAGTGTACTAGAGTCCCATTTTCTCCACACCCTCTCCAACACTTGTCATTTGATGATTTGTTGATAGCGACCATTCTGACAAAGAGAGAATCCTAAAAGCAGCAAGAGATTCTATTGCATTTTGAAAACAAAATATATTTTAATAAACACTGGCTTTATAATTATTCAAAGTTGTGTATTCATGTTTTGGGACACCCTATATAATAAATTGCACATAAATTATATAAGATTGTTTTGACATAT